GGAGATGCCAGGACAGGGGTCCCCTTGGGAGCTTTGTCTGTGTTCATTAATTTAGCTCTGTAATTAGCACTAGCAGGGAGGGGTGGGGGCAGATGATGGCAGTCCCTGGTTATCCCCATCTCCAGCATCTCCTCCTGTTCCCAGGCCCAGCAGAATCAGCAGAAGCAGGCACGGGTCCTGGGGATGGGAATATGGGGGGGGAGGGCAGACAGAGACCCCCACTCTCTGTGTCCGGCAGATCTACCGGCGCTGCTGGCTGGTCTTCAGGAAATCCTCCAGCAAAGGGCCCCAGCGCCTGGAGAAGTACCCGGATGAGAAGTCTGCATGCCTGCGTGGGTGCCCCAAGGTGAGGGGGTGTGCTTCAGGGGTGCTCCCCACTGCTGGGGGGACCCTGTGCCAGAGCACGTCCCCCCTTGCCTCAGCTTGCTGGGTGGCTGTTGCCCCACGTGCTCCAGTGGGATGCAGCTGGGTCTGGGTGCAGCAGGGAACAGGGTCTGGGTGCAGGGGTTGACAGGGTCTGGGAGCACTGCAGGAGTGTGGGTGCAGCCCTCAATGTCCCCCCCCAACCTCCCCTGCAGGTCACTGAGATCAGCAACGTCAAGTGCGTCACCCGGCTGCCCAAGGAGACCAAGAGACAGGCCGTGGCCATCGTTTTCACCGATGACTCCGCCCGGACCTTCACCTGTGACTCAGGTACGGGGGCAGCGCCCAGGGGAGCCGGGCTGGGGGTGCTGGGTGAGGCACCCTGGCTTGGCCAGGGTCGCCCAGGGGCTGCCGTGGTGCCTTGCAGAGCTGGAGGCGGAGGAGTGGTACAAGACGCTGTCAGTGGAGTGCCTGGGCGCCCGCCTGAACGACATCAGCCTGGGGGAGCCCGACCTGCTGGCGCCCGGCGTGCAGTGCGAGCAGACGGGTGAGCGTGGCGGCGGGGTGCCCGCCCGGGGCTCCACCTCGCCGCGCTACACCCCCCACGGATTAGTTTATTTTCTGTTGTTTGTTTTTTGTTTTTTTTTTTTTTTTTTTCCCCAGACCGGTTCAACGTGTTCCTCCTCCCCTGCCCCAACCTGGACGTTTACGGCGAGTGCAAGCTGCAGATCACCCACGAAAACATCTACCTCTGGGACACGCACAACCCCCGGGTGAAGCTGGTCTCCTGGCCCCTCTGCTCCCTGCGCCGCTACGGCCGCGACGCCACCCGCTTCACCTTCGAGGCCGGGCGGTGAGATGTCACCCCTGCCGGGACAGGGATCAGTGCTGGGTGCCTTCACCCAGCTGGGTGCTCCAGGAGATGGCACTGCTGCCGTCACCACAGGGCAGGCCCGAGGCTGGGGTGATGGCCACGGCCCATATAGGGTGCCCCAAGGCGGGGGGGGCGTTTGGAGCTGGTTCTGGTCCCAGCTCAACACCGTGAAGGGGACATACGGACAGACCCAGGGTGGGTTTTGTTTGTCACCCCTGGAATTGAGGACCCCGGTGACGTTCCGTGCCCCGTCCGTGCAGGATGTGCGACGCAGGGGAAGGTCTCTACACCTTCCAGACGCAGGAGGGTGAGCAGATCTACCAGCGCGTGCACAGCGCCACGTTGGCCATCGCTGAGCAGCACAAGAGGGTCCTGCTGGAGATGGAGAAGAATGTCAGGGTGAGCTTCAGCCTGCCCCGTGGCGGGAGCACAGCAGGGGGAGACTCAGAGGGCCCTGTGTCACCCATCTCCCCCTCTCATCCACCGCAGCTGCTGAACAAAGGCACTGAGCACTTCTCCTACCCCTGCACCCCCACCACCATGCTGCCCCGCAGCGCCTACTGGCACCACATCACAGGCTCCCAGAACATGGCTGAGTCCTCCAGCTATGCCGGTGAGTGTCCCTGCTCCCCTGCCAAGGAGCTGCTGCTCCTCCAGCCCCCAGGGCTTTCCCCACTGGGTGAGCCCACCCTCTGCTTTGTCCCCAGGGGAGGCGTATGCGGGCGCCCAGGCCAGCTCGGACACCGACCTCCTCAACAGGTTCATCTTGCTGAAGCCAAAGTCCTCCAAAAGTGACAAGCCTGAGAGCAGGGAGCCCAGATCATCATCCCCGTGAGCTGGGGGGCGGGGGGACTGTGGCAAGGGTCCCCTTTTTCCTCCCCAGGGGGTGGCAAGGACGCAGGCAGCCACCCCTCAGAATCCCCAGGAGACCTTGGCACCTCCACGCCAAGACCTTGGGGAGCAGGCGCTGGCTCGTGCCCTGGTGTCAGTGGAGGCGACGGCTGGATCAGCCCTGACTGACTTCAAATATATATTGAATATCTGTATTGTAAGAGACACTTCCTTCTCACTCGAATGCAAACGTGGTGGCTGCCGAAGAGCCCTCGGGCAGATGCTCAGAGGTTTTTGACTCTTGGGGATCCTGCTGGGAGGTGAAGAGAGGCAGGGGGGGGGATGTCAAGAAGTTTGGATTGTTTTCTTCGAGGCAGGAAGGCTGGAGCATCACCCTGCCACGGGCATGGAGCAGCGCCAGAGGATGCAGCTGTGTCAGGCTGATGGTGCGGGGTCCCACCCCCCCCCACCCCCATGAAGAGTGGGGTGCTCCTGGGGACACCCTGCCACCCCTGAGCTGATTTTTGCACTTCAAGCTATTTAAACTCGCTGTAGAATTGAGATGTCTCAGGAGAAACTGGTTTTCCTTCCAGGGGGGTTGGATGGGTGAGCGGCCAGGCAGGGCTGAGCTCCCTGGCTTCCCCCACCCCAGCACCCCTCACTCCTCCCCCCGCAGCCGTGTGCCCCCGCTGTGCCCCTGGTTTATCTGCTGGTGGGTAACCCCGGGGCTGGTTTTGGCCAGTAGCATCTGTCTCTCAAGGGGCAGCTTTGTGGATATAGAAGTCCCAGGGCAGAGGAGCCCATGCCAGTGGGGGGAAGAGCTGCATTCCTCTGTGCATTCCCACAGCCCTCACTCCCCCCTCACCCACCGGGTACCAGCCCTTGCCCGGGTGGGGAGGAACTGGGCTTTATGTGCTAAACTCAAAAGCAATTGATTTTTTTTCTAGTTCTATTTATTGACCTCCTTTAGAAGGGCTATCTTTTTATTGCCGTGCAAACCTTGGTGTTTCTTTGGAGTCTTCTTTCCGTCTGGGTCGGATGGTTGGTGGTTTTCTTTCTGCCCTTTAAAAGCTCCACGTCCATGTGTTGGGCACGGGGAGTGTTGTGATGTGGGAACCTGTGGTCTGTAAATACTGTGTCTTGGGTTGGTGTAGCCTGTGGCTGAGGCTGGGGGAATGTTGGGACAGAGAAGGGCCACTCCCTGCAGCGTGGCCGAGCACGGAGGGGCTTATCAGACCCCAGCATCGCCCAGCAGCACATCCTCCCCTGGGTGAGAGGTGTAACTTGCTCTCCTTTCCCGGCTACACACCTCATCTGGAAAAGATTTAACATTTGTTACCAAAAACGTTTGGGTTTTCTGTTTTTTAAGGAGTTGCTCAATGAATAAACAACCCTTATGCACATCCACCCTTCCTGTTTGTCTGTTCCATCCAAGCGCGCTCGGGAAGCGCGAGTGGGAGTAGCGCCTGCCAGGGAGAAAAATGCTGATGGGGAGAGATTTCCTGAGGCTCCTGGCAGCAAGCTTGGCTCAGAGCTTTGTTCTGCCTCCAGCCACGGCCAGGACACTTCAAGTGAAGCCCTAAAACCACTGGGACAGGGAGAAGGGTGGAGCAAGTTGCCACTCTCCATCAAGCAACCCAGAGTGAAACAGGATGCCAGCATTCCATTGTTATCCCTTGCCTCCGGCCACCCCAAGCTCCAGGGATGTGCCAGGGCAGTGGTGGCTTCAAGTCCCCAGGTGAAGGAGTTTCAAGCCATGTCATCTTCCAGCTCTCCCAGAGCTGTGCCAGGCAAGTTATCCATGCCATGACTGCCTGGCAGTGCTGGCCTCACAGCGAGACAGCCATGCCAGCCACGCAGTGCTCCCTCCAGGAACAGGCAAGGACATGGAAGCAGCAGCCTGGCTACAGCGGCTTTTCCCTGGAGGGGAAGGCAGTGCTGACACAAACTGCTCTCTCCAGCTCAGTGTGACCCCATCACCATCCCTGAGCCACCCCCACGCCCCACATCAGGGGCACATGTGCCTTCCCCTCCCTCCCAGCCCCCATGGCACAGAAGAGGCAGGTCTCTCCAGGACAGTGTCACTGAGAAGCTCATCCCAAGCCACGCTGGGCACTGATGGAGGGGAGGAGAAGGGGTGACTCAGGTCATTGCTGGAGCCTTTAAGACACTGCCAGAGGGGTTAGGGCATGGGACCTGCACCAAGCTCCAGATCAGCACACCCTCAGGGCTATGGGCACACTGGAAGGTGTCATCCAGGGTCATTCCTGACAGATCCAGCTCCTCACAGAAAGGTTATACGCATACAGGGCGGTGTGTATAACTCCGGAGGAGTCTGTAAGTACAGCTCTGCCTGCCTGACCCAGCTGGGCTCCCCTGCAGCGCTGCCTTCTGCAGTATCTTGCCCACCCCGGCCTCAAACATCTGCTTGGAACGCCGGGCTGCCTGCAGGAGGGGTGCCGCTCTCCTCGGGAGATAATGTCACGAGCAGCAATCAGCATCGGCGAGCAGAGCTCCCTCCAAGGCACATCTCATTAAGTTAATGCCTATTGGAGAGAAGTAAATGATGTGACATCTCCTCCTGCAGCCCCGGCCGAGCTTTCAGGGATGACAGAAAAATGTGGGGGCAAGGTTTTATTCAGCACAGTGAGGAACAGACATGTAAATAAGGTAGGGTTGTGTAACCAAGGGACATCTTCCCAGTTGTAAATACCACACAGCCAGAACCCAAAACCAGAACCAAAACTCTGGGATCAGCTGAAGACAAAGCCTTTCCTAGGGAAGATGCTCACTGATTAATTACCTACACAACAAAATGGCTTTCCCTGGAAAGCAAGATCAGGGAAGCGTTACCAACCAGCAGAGCTGGGCCAGGAAAGGCAGACGGAGATGGGGAGGTAACAGCCTCTCCCCAGATCAGGGCCAGGCAGAGGCAAGGGGCCCCCTCAGTTAATGGTGAGGACGTCGCTCTGAATCTCGTGGCTCAGCTGGGTCTGGAGGTCGCTCAGTTTCTTCTTCAGGCCAGACAGTGCGGACAGGACGATGGTCTCGGGGCGCAGAGAACCACAGGACTCCACATTGTAATAGAACCTGAGGTTACAAATCAAGGGGTTAAGTCACCACCTGCCCTGCACGGAGGTGCAAGCCCAAGGTGCAGGCACAGAGCAGTTCCAGCCCATCCCGACCTGCCGGAATTCCAACCATCAGCATCGTTCACCTCCCAACCAGGCAGCAGCCAGCACTGCCCCTCTACAACTGTCACACCAACACAACTTCACAGGCCACAAGAGCATTTCTGAGATTGATTTCTGCTCAGCACCATGACCTGTGAGCCAGCCTTGCCAGGGAGTAAGGCTGGCTGAGCCACTTCTGCAGTGCAAATAACACCAGCAGTCAGAGCACAACACACACACAGGTGAATAAATACCCTAAGCCACTTTCCCCCTGCAGGCCTCACACTTCACCAAGTGTGCACCACCCTAGCTGGCAACACGAACTCGGGAGAGCTGTCTATTATCTCCCAGAGCGAAAAACCTGCCAGATCTGGGCATATCACCAGTTAACTCCAATTCTGCCCTGCTTTTCAGAGAACATCAGCTCCCTGGGCTGGCAACTCCAGCACAGAGTAGACATTTTTCTATTAATAAGAGAGGATGAGATGCACCCAACCAGCCAGCCCACCTTGCAGCTGTGGCAGTGCATTCAGCTCCCTACCTCTCTGGCTTCCCGTTGGGGTCATAGGGAGCCTGAGCATCCTCGTCGTCGATCTCCGAGTACTCACTCTTGGGCCTGGAATCAGAGAGCAGGACAGGTTAGCACAGAGCCCCTGCTCTGGCCTGGCCCCACAGAGCCCAGGCACTCAGTTTGGCTTCAGAGAGCGAGCAGGGGGCTCGTGCCCAGCACACAACACGGTGCTCATCACACAATAAGTCACAGAAAAAAAGCTCAGTCCCACATTCCCCTTCCTGGCTCCTCTTTAATGCCACAGGGTCACCCAGCAGTGCTGGAGGAAGGGGATCAGCCCTGCTCTGCCCAAACTCATTCAGTCCTGTGCAGGGAGCACTGTGGCTCCATCCACACACACTGGCACAATCTGGCAGGTGCTCACAGTGAAGGGATGTCAGTGCCTGAAGGGACTGTGTTTATGGAGGCTTGATGCATTTACAGAGTAATGGACCTTGTGTTATCTTTTCTTTCCACTTTCCACTAGGCCAGGAAAGCACCAGAGCACCCCAGAGCTCAAGTCTGTGGAGCACAGCTGAGGTGGGAAAGTACAGTTGGCTTGGATTCAGCAGGAAAGAACCTCCTGTACCTCAAACACCATCTGCATCAGTGAGCTCCATTCTCATGTCCTGCATCTCCACTCCTCTACCAAAATCACTGAAATACCCAAGCATCAATTAGGCAAACACATCTTTCTACCCACTGCACCCCTTGGTTTATAGAGCACCATACCAGAGACTCTGTGGGAGCACTTAATCTGGGTAAGAAAAGCCTTGAGCTGTCTGAAAAGCCAGTACAGAAAATCCTGTGCCCACCAAGGTCTCCTGCTGGCCTTCCTCTGCCCCAGCAATGCCCAGAAATGCTGATCCCGGCACCCTGTCATCAGCTGCCTGAAATAAAACTGCATTTCTCAGACCAAAACCTCTGCCTGTACAAACCACTGAGAGAGATAAAAGTGTTAATGGAGCTGGGACTCCTCATGACTTGCAGAACCACTCATGGCTGAAACAGTGCAGAGGTTACCACCACCACCACGGCAGCTGTTTGGAAAGTCCAGCTGCATGCCAGTGCTCTGCCAACAGCCTCAAAAAGCAATTACCATGAAAAACTAAACCAAAAATCATAGCTAGCCTTGGACAGCAGAAGCCTTTGGCTCTGTATTGTCTTCACAGCAAGGTCAGATGAACTTGGAAAGACAGATGTATCATCAGGGAACTGGCAGCTACAACGCCAATCTTCCTTTCAGATTTTTCCAACTTTTACATACATTTTGTCAAGGGCTTCTCAGAAACTGTTTCCAGGTGCCCTGGTTGTTGTATACCACACCAGATTCCTGAAGATGCAGCTGACCCTGCCACCAAACAAAAGAATCCCCACTAGCAGCTGCCTTAGGCCACCCAGCCAGGGAAGAGCCACATTGCCGAGGTGCACATGGTACACGTGCTCAGCTGGGGCTGTTCTCTGTGGCACCAACATTTCCCAAAGCCCACGCTCTCCAAAAGTCACACTGTGACATTCCCCATCCAAAAAGGCAGCAGAGCTAGTGATCCCTCAGCCTGCCCCACTCAAAGAGGCATTCCAAATCTGTCACTTCATCAGTGTCCCAGACTTATGAGCCAGCACTGCAGAAATTAAACTGAGGAATTTTTACAGCACCAGAATGAAGCCTAAAATGATTTCAAATCCCCATTTGAAATTCCACATCCATTCTTGTTTCTCAAGCATGCTGATCCATCACTCAGACAATCAACTAAATTTTGGGGCAATTTATCTGCCATAAATAATTTGGAAACTTCAAAACTGACCGGTTCCACCCCCCAAACTGCTGGTGACAAAGGACAGGCCGGCACATCGACTGTTGTGACATGGTCCTGCCCACAAGGTTGCCCAGCAGCACCCTCAGTCGTGGTCAACCAGCCTCT